TGACTGTGATTCATAGTTGAGTGAGGTTAGGTTGATGACTATGACTATGATTGTGGTTCATAGTTGAGTGAGGTTAGGTTGATGACTATGACTGTGACAAAAAAATTGATAATGTGAATTATATTTATGTATTTAATAAATTTTTTGTCACTGTATTTTCTTCAATATGATTAAAAATGAAATATGGAAAAAATGAATCTATCCGGTTGAATAAATGACAATTATATTCGAAAGTTTTATCATAATAAGATTCTTGAACAAAAAAGAAAACCGGGTTGAAATTCAATGAATAATAATCCACCACTACCAACACTTTTTACTTCAACCAAGTTTCCAGTTAATAGTTTTTTTCGGTTGCCTGTCATACTTTTTAATAACGTTTTTGGTAATGTATATTTGATATCCTTTGATAATGATCTGATGTTATGCAAAAGAATGATATAACAATGTTGACATTTTTTTAAACACTCGAAGAAAAGAATAGTGATAAATATAAGAATCATCATTATTCATGTGAATTGATAATTTATTAATTATTTCTTTACTTAAATTAAAATTAATAAATTTTTTTGGAAATTAAAGAAAAAATCTGTCATTCCATTTCGATGATGATTTTGACATTTGAAAAAGAAATTCTTCTTATTCAAATTCAATGATTAGGAAATTCTTTTTTGTTTGAATGGAATGATAAGATTCTGAATTCTGTAAACTCAAGTAACATTATGGGATTTGGAAATTCTTGTTTTTTTTTGCATTTCTGCAACACACCGAAAATTATTATTATCAAAAATAACAAATGTTTATCATAATAATCGGATATTATGAAATTTGATAAAGGAATCTTTTGATCAACAACATGACAGAAAATCAAACCAAAATCGAAAATCGAAATCCAAAAAAGTGAGAAAAAAATTTCTGTTGATTAAAAATTTCATTCAAAATTCTGTCAAATTGATTGAAATGACGATGTTGATGATAAAAATCATTTCATATTTCTTCCAACCTGCAGAAAACATCCTTATTGATTTTTTCTATAATTATCTTTTGAATCGATAATCATCCAAATCAAATCGATAAATGTCAAGTTGAATGAACAACAATACAATCTTCTCAAGTATCTTCTTTCCAAAACATCTTATGAAATATTAATAATAATAATAATGAATATAAGATGTTTTCTCCAAACCAACAAAAAAGAAGAAATCTGAAACTTGTTTTTCGAAAATTTTTGATGGGCCAAAAAAAATAGACATTTTTCTGGTCCAATCAATTCAATAATGAATCATATTCAATCTTTATTACTATTTTTCAATCACAAAAATCAGGCAACAACAAAAAAAAAGGTCAAAATCATCAAACCAGACAAAACTTGATCGAATATTTTCGCTTTTACAATTATTTGTCAAGATTGAAAAAAATTCTTTCAAAACATTTTATTCGAAATAAATTTCATCATTTTTTAATTCATCTCGAAAATGAAAATTGAAAAAAAATACAAAAGTTGAAAAATTCTTTTCATCATTATCAAAGTCAACCAATATCCATAAATATCATATGGTTATGGGAAAAAAGTCAGTTTAGAAAATGAGAAAGTGAAAATTTGTAGGATTTTCATCATCATCATAATAATCATTTCGAAATTTATTATTTATCTCCAGAGATTTATCTCGCTAATGCGAATAATGATGACGATGATCATCATGGAGAAAATCAAAATAAATAAAATGATTTTTGATTTTTCGAAATTTTTTTTAAATTAAAAAAACATTTCATTATCATTTTTGAAATGTTTTTTTTTCACTTTCTGTCAATGAGAAAGAAAGACTAATTCCATTGGGTAATTTGGTAGCCATAAACCATAAACAAACCACTGTAAGAAAAATAACCAGCAGTAATAAAAAAATATCGTTGTGTTTCCAAGTGTTGTGTGCGATAAACATGAGTATGATGATGACATTTTAGTTTTTTTTTGATGATCAACTCTTTCAACAACAACATCACCAAAAATCAATGCAGAAACAAAGAAAAAATTAATTTTTTAATCTTGAATCAGATTTTTTTTTAACTTGTTGTTTGAGAAAAGTCAAACAAATAACAAAACAAAACAAACGTGACAAATAAACTAAACTAAAGTAAATAAAATTAAATGCTAATAATGATGTTTTTTTTTGTTATTTCGTGTCAAAATCATCATCAAAATCAACAATGACAATAACATATTTGAAAAATTTGAAAAATTAATGAAAGGTTGGTTGTTTTTTTCTCCTCTACTTTTGTTTTGATTATTGAATAATTGGGAAATAAATTCCATAAATAATTTTCTTTTTGTTTCGAAACAACAAAAAAAACCATTTCTTTCTTATCAATGTTTGTTGTTGTTGTTTTCTCATTATTCAAATCAATTCTCCGATGGGAATTTGATTTTGATGGAATTGTTTGAATGTTATTCTGATTTTGATTTTCTTTTTTTGATCTTCACTTTACGAAACTAAAAATTCTAATTTTTTTCGTTTCGTCTCGTTTCTCAATTTGCCCAAAGTAAATGGAAAGAATTTTTTGTTTCGTTTTTCATTTTGATTATAATTCAAACATTGTCAATATTGTTGTTATTTTTTTTTCTTCTACACAAAGAAAAAAAAATATTCCGAAACGATATTTGAAATCATTATCATCATGTTTCTTTATTTTTTGTTTGTTTGTTTGAGAGACAAATTGGAAAAATATACGAAAACAGGAGAAAGAATTCGAATATCGAATATTGCCAATTAATAATTGATAACAGCAAACGAAAAAAACAGGGAATTTCATTTTATTTTCACGGAGAGAGAGAGAGAGAGAGAGAGAGAGAGAGAGAGAGAGAGATATTAAAACATTTTTTAAAAGAAAAACATACATTTCGAAACTTAATCTTTATTGTAAAGAAAAAAACGAGAGCCTTGATGCAAGTGAAATTTTGAAATAATGATTATCAGACCAAAGAATAATGAATGCAAACTTTTTTTGAGGAAAAAAAGTTGGTTAAACATAAATAAGGATTCTACATTTTTTTGCTTTGTTTGTTTGTTTTTCTAAGATCAGGATAATTACGTTTTTTTTTGTTGTTGAGAACATCATGTTTTCAATTGATAATTTTCAATGGGATTTGGGTTTGGTTGAAGAGAGGAAAGAAGAAAAAAATTTCAATTTCCTTTTGGTTTTTGGATCTTCCTTCAAAGCAAAAAAAAAACGTCAATCACTCGATGAAATCCAATGTGACAGCATTTTTTTTTAAAAAAGGAAATCTAGCTTGAAAAAAGGGAAATTTTTTGCTTGTGAAATTTTCGACAGGTTTTTTCGTCATCATCGTCCGGCGTGATGTAGATTTTTTTATCAAACAAAAAAAACTTACTTGATTTTTAGCTAAAATCGTATGGAAAAATTTCAAACAACACCAATTATTATTGATGATTACAATGATGATGAACAAATTCAACAGACAAAATTTGTTATCGATCGATAATTATGAAATCATATTGCACTTTGTTGTTGTTGTTCAACACTTTTTACAA